CGCACTTTAAACAACTGGATCTTGAGTTAGACTACTCCGGGCTGAGAACAGTGGCGGTGGTGAGGGGCTATCTTTGTTATGTGTCGTTTTCAATTTGAAGCTTTGATGTACAAAGAGGAAGCGAAATGGTTCTCTCCATCACGGGGGTACATTCAAAGACCCCCTCCTGCTGGAGCAGCAGCCGCAGCCTGCCACATACTAGTCCCCCGCCACCTACCGCGGGGAGTGTATCTGCCTTAACTCACTGGCGCGGATCACACCTCCGTCCTAATCCACCTTGTTTAACATGATCAACTCCCCTATATGGAATAGGAATTTAATTAATTTCACAAATGAATTAATAGTTTTTGTGCGAAATCTTTTTAAATGTCAATCACTCAAACATAATACACTCCCCCAGAAAATGATATGCTAATCAACAGTGCCAAAAAATTTGTTTCTCAGAATGATACAATTGTTGACTTATCTATTCTCAAAGGCCTTTTTATTATTGTCAATATTTAATTTCACGAAATATTGTCAATAACGAACTTAATGATAATAAAAAGTAGATATAATGGTAATGTTTCATGAAAGGCATTGATTGTAAAGATCACTGATCATATAACAGTTATATACCCTTCAGAAAGGGTATATGGCAATGTTGAACCATTATCCCTCTTCCATTAGGCGGTATATAGCAATGCCCCAATGATGCCCTATAGTTCATGCTTAAACCCCAGTGTTAAATCTGTATTGATATCTGTCTTAAACCCCATTTCACAGCGTATTGATATTCGATATAATCATGCTGTTGTCCTGATATTTGTTTTAAACAACTAAAACGTATCACCTATTAAAGACAGAGGATATTATTTGCTAGCGGGGAATTAACACTACGGGATTGTTGAGATCAAAGCAATCGTTTCTGAGCAGCTCATAATGTTAAAAGGTCTTCAATACGATTTATGATTCTTAAACCAACTTTTATCGCTTGATTCTGCTACCCTACTGCTAGTTTTAAGCCTAACCCGGGAGGGGGCAGGGAGAAGGGGATGCGACAGGGGGGATGAGCGTTAATTTTACTGATTAGCCGTTTAATACCTTGCCAAGCGCTGCAACTGTCGCCTAGTGTAGGCCTGATTTAAGACAAGGGCTGGCAAGAGGGGTTCGTAGTGGGTAGCTTGCTGAACAAATACCCCCAAGGCATATCCAGGCAGAAATAATTCCGTGGTGGAGCCATTCTATAACCTCAACTCACACACGCACTGGCGGGGGTTTGTTCTTGTAGAATCGCCCTAGGGAGCGTTCCGTGGTGAAGGGAGACCCTTTCCCCCTTTTCTTCAACTGTAGAAAGCTGAACGAGCAACAATGGCAGCAGGATGACAATCGCGGGTTTGGCTCATGGCCTATGCCAATTCAGCTGCTCTCTCTCGCAGAGAGAATCGCAAGGAAATTCTATCTGGGAAACTGCGACAATGGGCTGAGAGAGTGTAAATATGTTATTCTTGGGATTAACGCTGTCGAAACAGGTCTCGGCTATGAAACCGAGCCAACATGGCCCCTAGGAAAGTGCTGGTCAGTGTTACATGTTTGTAACTCGAGATGACTGCAAAGAAAAGGCAAATTTGTATTGTGAATTGACGCTCCAGTCGGGAGCTCATTCCACACGTGACGGAGTGGCATGACACTTTAAAGATGTAGTTGGAAGCATGTCGTGGGTGGGGGAACTCAATAATTGATCGGGAATCGCAGGATAACTGTCATTATCCAAATAGACACCAATAGCTGCTCTGATAAACCCTTTCCTCTCATCTTCAGAAAGGCTTTTGTCTAAGAATTACATTTATTTGATATTTAAACCTGTCTTCATTACACGGCCCGGTGAGCATGTATGCCGGCGTGGCACGGTAATACCTGGTTATGACATACAGGGTTCGTAAACATAGGGCTGCTAATTTTCACTCCCATAAACATTCAATTCAGAGGTATTACAAAAGATTTGGAATCACGGATGCTACGTGAGCAGGATCGACAGATTCCGGGTACCGAGTTCAGATCAGTTGTTATGCTTCACCCTTGTCTTGGACCAATCTGTAGTCATCTCTGATTGCCGGCATGAATAGACTTTGGTAATGTAGTGATTGAAAACGATCTGAATGGGAAGTCAACTGTTTTGTACAGGGCAATTCAGCAGTTTAACTGTTGAAAGGACCTGTAATTGGCAGTAGTTGTGTGTGAAAGGGTCGGCCTAGGTGACACCGGGTAACGGTGTAATGATAGACTTTGGATATTACAATCCCCGTTAAACTGTCTCCTCTCCTGTCTTCCCTGTGATAAGCCTGCGAGTCCTGTCTCAGTTTCGTGGTCGTGGTGGCTGGGGACATCTACAGCTGTAGAGTCATCAGAAAGCCTGACTTTGCTGCAACATATACATTATCTGCAATGCTTCAACTTGGTCGAACTGTAATTACATTGGGAGAACATTCCTTCACCAAACCGTGAAGTCTGCGCCTGCCCTTTACGTGTAATTAGGAGTCAGTTCATCTTGCACAGTTCCAGAGAGGCAATTTGGCGAACCAGCAGGCCGACGTGTTCTTGTCCCAGGGGTGGAATGAGAGATGGGAAAATTACCCTGAAATTTTCAGTTATCTTGGAATCGGAACATATATCCATGGATCTATATCCCCGTGTTATAACTAATACGCTTTGAAGACAGGGGCCATGGAACCACTACAATCTAAATTACTCGGGTCGGGGTTTTTCGACTGAATTGAAAGGTAGCATTGACGGTCAGTGATAAGAAAGATGACGGGTTCTTTGTCAATGAGTCTTTTGGGGGTCAGTGTCTTAGGGTGGAGGGACAATTGTTGAGGGGCAGATGTGTGGTCAAGATCGGGCGAGAGGGAAAGGGGTAGGGACGAGTAGGTGTGGAGAGGGGACACGGTTTGTCGAGGAGGGGACGAGAGGGTAGGGCGAGAAAGGAACAGGGGGTCGAAAGATAATAATAGTGGAAGACGATGTGAGAATATCGGCTTCCATTGTTACCTAGTTGATATTCGAACAAACGGCACGGGGATGCCGACAAGATTATGGTCAATTGATGTGAGAAGTTTTATAGTTGCATTGTTGAGACTTTTATGGACATTTAGATCGAATAGCTTTGAAATAGGTCTTTATATTATATTATTCACAAACGATCATTCATGCACTGTGTGTCTGTCCAAGCGTGAGACTAGCCAAGCGATCCAACTCTCGCTAGTATATTATTACACTGACGGATCAGCCTAACCCGGTGTGACGGTAATTACAAAGTCCGACTGAAACGCCTGCAATATATGCATACGGACTCCGTTAACGAAACATATTTGGTAGAGCTTTTGATGTGTTTTTAAAATTATTTTTAATATGTTAAAAGTGCAGTTTAATCTGTTTTCGTGGTTCACTACTTTGGCAATTTTGGTTTGAAAAACTTCTTGTGTGTAAATAGGAACTTTATATGACTATCTAACATGTTTTAAAAACTCTTTTTTTCAATAGATCTTTAACTGTAATAGTCTTTGACATTAAATATCTTATATCAACCTGAAGAAATGTTTGGAACAAGGATATATTTCGTGTTCATCCAACATCTATTTGTCTGTCGTACCAACCAGCACGTAATTATGACACCGAATTCCAAATTAACAAATGATGATTTTAACATTTTATGTTAAGAATGGCGAATACTGCAGCCAAATGACAAGTTCTTTGCCATCTGTTCGGCGTCACAAAAACACCTGTTGCTGCATGCGTCAGTTCATGTCAAGAAGACGACTGCGTTCAATAATTAACTCTGTGTCAAAGAGGCTCCTGCACAATCCTTTCCAGATAAAATTAACATGAGTTTTTATATTGCCCAATCAAGGCAGTTCATTTCACTCTGACTAGTGCACCTGGTTGTTGCATTGTCACAAAAGTTGTGCGGTTTTCTGATAGTTACACCACGCTGATTACGACAACGTTTCCAAAGACGGTGACGTGGAGTGGACAATCTTGAGTACCGGGATAACGCCACAACAGGCGTGTATTTTCTCAGGGATCATTCTGTTTTTCTTTAATTTTGTCTCATTTGTTCTGCCGACTCTTCTTCTACCTAGACTCCTGAACGCGGGTCGTATTACGAGGAGACCCGGCACGTTTCACCGTCGATTTTACCTCTGCCCTAGCTCACTCCATACGTTCCTTGAATCAACATGAAAAATCAATTGTATTTGTTTTAGTAATTCGTTAAATCATATCTTCCTTATGTAAATACATCTTGTTGATGCATGAAACCCACAGGGTTAGACTCGCCATGTATTACAGATTGTGAACGGTTCGATGAAATGAACGACATCACGCATGGTTTTAATTTGTGTGGATTTCCCTGGAAGCGTGTTGTATATTTGCTTCTCCGTCATCACCGATTTTCATAACACTAACAAAACATGTGTTAAGACCCCAAAACACTTATGTATTTTGTGACTTCATTTGTATCACTTCCTGAAGGTGACTTGAATCGCCGATCAATTTAGACGTACTTTTATCCGAACAACACATTAACGATCTAACATTAGGTTATTCAGTCATGCATAATTCTACCTACGGGATTTTTTGAATGCGTTTACATGTCGGAAAATTATTATTGAGCCATTGAAATTGTAGAAAAAATATCTCAATTCAAAATATCAATATACTCTTTAGCCTTGCATTATGTCGAAACCGTTTTCATTTGTAATTTTCAAAGAGCTATTAATTATTCTGAAAATAGTATATATATATATATATATATATATATATATATATATATATATATATATATATATATATATAAAATGAAGGGAACACATTATGAAAGCTATTGTTGCGTTGCCTCTTTGAATCTTTGAAAATACAAATGCTTTTGTATGTACTAAAGAATACGCATAGGCGTCTGTATAGTATAACACGCCAGGTAGAGAACGAGACAAAGATTTTAATTTGCCATTTTTGCTTTGCAGGTCTGGTTCCAGAACCGGAGGTCAAAGGAACGGCGCATGAAACAGTTGAGCGCCTTGGGTGCGCGACGACATTTCTTCCGTAACCCGCGGCGCATGCGTTTACGTCCCGGCGAGGACATGGCGGACAGCCCGGATATGATGGGGGCCCCGGGATTCGGCTACATGGCAGGTAGGCACCCCCCGGACTCCATGGATAGTTACATGTACCTCGACCACCCTGAGTACGTCCAGCCCGACTTCGACCCCATGGAATACAGTCATAATGAATATAACGAATATTCTAACCATTCCGAAATGGTTTGGAATCAGGGGGGATTTGGCGCGTACGGTGGTTATACTGACGAAACCTATGTGATGTGATGCGTGACTGCTGGACTCACCGTACAGAGAGCAGTTGTTGTTTATTCCTATTGCGTATTTAACAGACATTCTGTGAAATGTTGAAGAATTTATCAGGATGGTGCCCAGTTTATGTTTTAGCATAATGTTTCAGTGCATATTGTGTCCAACTTAATGTGGTGTACATATTACTTCTGTGTATTTATGAAATTGTGCATATGTTGTATATTGTGAAATGTTGCCAAGAATGACTAGAAATATCGCTGAATTTATACAGGGGGACCTGTTGAAAAGACTGATATTTGCGATATTGAAAAATTGCATATTGTGAAAGCTGTTGTTACCTACAAAAATTGGAATAACTCTGCATTGGCAATAAAAAATATATATGAGGAATACATGACTATTGTTCACATTTATTTTGATTCTCTTGAGGCTTTATCACGGAGTGAAATTCACGTAGGACATGGAATTGTTGCGAGTTCGAGACTAATAGTACCATTGAAAATTTGTAAAGCATTGAAGATGCGTTCCAAAAAAAGTCTACATAGAAATCAATTTTGGTCGTATGAATATTAATAAACCTTTGACAAGAAACAAATTACAACTGTAGGGAGTACTTTTCCGACTTGGAACGAAATGTATTTTCTTTGAAAACATATTGATTTCAATTACCTTCTCTTAAAATGTCTTACATACGATATTTCGTTCCGAGAAAATATTGTGAAAGCGACACGAGGCGTAAAGCATTCAACTGTTATAATTTACAAAATGATATTAATTACCATATGTATCATTGTATTTACCTCGGAGTGAAAATACACAAGTTCATGTGTAATTGCTGCACGTGTTTGTCGAGGAGCTGTATGGGAGGTTGCTTGGATTTGACATTGTTCTAATTTCAACGAAATTATTGAAATGTTCACGTAATACTTCCCAATCCCCACTGCGTTACAACTCGGGAGTATCTCGCCAAAATCAGCCAACATGTCGGGGGGATATGTAGTTGAAGTAGTCGGCTATGTAACAAGCAATGTTTATGACGACATTATTCATATTTTGTGACTGTTTAAAATTTATTATGAGAGACTATGTTGGGAGGAAGGTATTAAACTGCACTTATCACAGGTTTTCTCCAGGGTGGGCTTCTCGAACGATGCACCCCCAATAGAGCGGAAACGGCTTCAAAGAAACTATTCAAAATAACACCCATTATAATTTCATTAAGTTCTAATGAAAACTTTTAAGCCATGTTTATTGCAAATACAAAGTTTGAACTCTATCTTTTCTGTGATTGGTCACGTGCCTCTTTTAGTTCGCTTGGTTTTACTGCTGGATAAAAGGAGTTGGTTCATAATGGCTCTGAATGAAAATTTGCATATTTTTATCTTTTCATTTTTAAATATTTTGAAATATTCATCAAGCTTGGTTGCATCTGTTCGAGGAAGTAAATGACAATTTTATGATTTCAGAAAGTTATGGGTCTTCGGTATAACTAATATCTTACGTTTTAGTACTTCAGGATCACAGAACCGCACGCATTCGTTTACGCGCAAAAGAACGCAATATAAAGACATTTATCAACACAACAAAACTGTGGCATACGATACACGCAAAGATAACAGTTATTCATAACTAATATTAGTAGTTCTGTCAAATATGACAGTTAATGTTAGCTCTGATTAATAGTTAATACCGTTGCTTAGTGACGCGTTATTATTCTCTATCAAAATATGAACTTGAAAAACATTTAGTCTATTCACGGACGCTTGTTCTGGAACAGATTTATACAAACATTTTGTTTCCAAGCGTTTATTTAATTATTAAGGCAATAATTTTGCAAATACGACTATTGGTCCAATGATTGCAATAGTAACAATTAATTCATGTTCTAGGGCTAGAGGATTGTTTGCTATATACGACATGCACATCCCTGCAAACAGAAACAAATAACATCTGTCGTTTTTTATTCAAAATATTCTTTTTATTTTTTTTAATGAAACATAAATACTTCCAATTACTTGGTCACACAAATAAGACAAAATATGTCTTTGTGTACAGCTCATTTTGTAACTACACCTATAAGGACGGGGCTGGTACTTGGTACTGTCACCACGGACTTATAGCAACTGTTTGAAATAGTTTTTTCATAGTTAAACCTGTATTCAACGTCGTAAATGTATGATTTTATCAGACATATTATGACATTGTTTGTTGAGGTTATTTTTGTAAATCAAACATGCGTATGCAAGCAATAAATATGTTTGATTAAAAATTCATGATAACCTTTCCAGGTTGATTTTTCGTGGTGGTGCCGCAAGCGATTATGTGAAAAACACAAGTTTCCCCCATACCTTGCGGAAATGTGAATTATTAAAGATGAATTCAAGTCAGTGACTGTAGTCAGACCGCTATTGTTTAAACATGTTAATCTATATTTTATCATTTCATTTTGTTTCTCGGGAAGTTAGAGTTTTTTCGAACAGACCTACAATCTTCATGCTATTAAAAAAGCTTCGTGAAAAAATAAACCTGTTAGGAGAAAACAAAATTCATTGTAGAGGGTGGATGTCGACGCAGTGTGCGATATGCCTACCTGTTGATAGAGGTAAACTCCTTGCGCATACAGGTATTAATTATATAAAATAATTCAGAATAGGATATTTTTCAACCCAAAAGAAAGACATTTACAGGAGATATAAAAATCGTCTTTATTTAGAATGGATATGTATATGTACGTCCCATTTCCACAAGAACCTGGCATAGGATAGTTACCTGCATAACAAGAATACGTTTTGGAGACGACGTAACTTTTAAAACTGGTCTCCCGACAATAAAATATGTTTAATACAAGATACATAAATTGATATCTTATTATTAAACTAACATCGATATAAATTCGATAGATTTTCATGGACAGTTGGAATACGGCAATACTAGGGAGAATGTTTCAGTATCATGGGCTCATTGCTTTTAGTTATCTGCAATTATCGTTCTGGGGGTGACAATGCAAGAGGGTACATCGTCCTTACAAATCTCTATCAATACGAACAAGGAGAGGGCCGATAGGGCGTTCTGTGGGTCGCACACCAGCACATTGACGATATTAGGGGACGGGGGACACAAGACTCACCACGAATTTCGGAACGGATTCCACCGCGCGGCACAATGGAGAGGCGTTGGATTTAGGATCCGATGCTTAGTCTAGTATATATGATACAATTTTGTGTTTAGTTTGTAAGCTGATTTCAGTGTTTTTCTTATTGTCCATAGTAAGAGCGTTCAACGTCTTCAATATACGGCCTTCCCAGCACAACCGCCCATGCTTTGTATGAGATTTACAATGGGGGCTTTGTAGGGTAGTTGGGTTCTTGCTTAGATTGCGCCAAGGCGCTAAGACTACCATACCACCTCAGGGGCGGAACAAAGGTTAGTTTGCGGGAGGGGGGCCTAGGCGTTCTGACCCTCCCGGGGAGGGGGAGAGGTAGAAGACATTTGGGGTGTACCCCACATACAGGTGCGTGCTAGTGACTAGACCGAGCGTTCGTCTTTTGAAAACATCTCAATGTGGTCTGGTTGTCGCCCAGCATGAAATGGACGATTCAACCTAACATTTTATCAAGGACATATTCTTCGGCGCATTTTGCCAGCGTCATGTGGGGAGCTGTTGTTATTCTCGCCGACTTTCTTCACGGTAAAATTTCAAAACCGAAATAATCGTCACTATGCAACAAAAGCAGAGCGGCAATATTGACCAGCAGCCCCCAGCTGATTGTCAGAGACCCTGCGTTCCATTCCTCTGGGCTTAATGATCAGTTATCGATCTCCCTCCAACGTAATTATTTTCAATTGTATCCAAACCCAGGTGTTCTGTGATCTCAACGTTCTAAATAGGAATTGTAAACAAGGTTTGGTAAACAACGGCATTATCAGGTAGGTGAACGAGGTTTAACAAATACCCCAAGCAACATATTATGACAACAACGCTTCAACTTCAATCATATGCACCGCTATACTAGTCTAGGATGTAATATTAATAATAATAATAATAATAATAATAATAATAATAATAATTTTGTGTCATATGTACATTTGATTGCAACTCCATTTTTTTTATTTTTTAAGAGTCTATACACCTGGCCAAAGTTTGCCCGAAAGCCACCATTTATATTTTTACATGATCTGAATACATTATAAAATATACGTAGATATACATACTTTAAAATATACCAGTTTCTACAAATATCTGCTGAGAGCATACATATTCACAAACACGCACGCACGCACGCACGCACGCACATGTATCTATATAACAATATGCTAATATATACTACGGGTAGGTGTCAATCAAAACACTAGCGGTATGTACACAGCCAATTTCCGTCCCCCGTGATATACCATCGCTATGAACCCACACAGTCAAGTAGCCCTTACATAACGGTATTGCGCTACCAGGATACACAGGCAAGTAAGCCTTACATAACGGCATGGCGCTACTGTCGCTGTGTCAACACCGTCGAGATTCTATCGATGTAGATTCACATTTTGCCTGATCAAACATCATCTGTGCATAAATGCGGATTTTTTTCCTCCGTGGAAAAGATTGATATATGCTCCCCTGATGATCAAACATAACCAAGAGACTGTTTAACAATCTGGTATGCCAGGGCCGTCGCACGCTCACCCCCCTACTCTCTGTCCTCGGGCGGCCTCCGAATCTTATCCCCCGTCTACCTGTTCCGTTTGATCGTAAAGAAATGTCTTGTGAGTCTCCTTCCCAAATTCCTATACCCTAGCTATTGTACCGAAGCAAAAGCAATACTTTTGTCG